AGACATCAAGGGTGGGTTAAGAGAAATCTGCTGGTGGTTTGCACGTACTTCCTGTACTTTCTTTTACAGTGGTTACTTAAGCAAATATGTCCTTTATTTGTATAAACTTCATTGCAGCACATTTGCAGAAGACCTTGAATGAACATACACGATGTTTGAGTCCATTTTAGCTGTGACCTAATCTGTAAATACTTTCTGTTGCAGATAAGGCTGGAGTGACTTTCTTTCAGATTTTGACAGCATTTTACCTAATGCCAATTAATTCTGCTCCCACCAAAGACATAGAATTTTTTCAATTAAGTTATCAAATCCTTTTTTTCCTACTGCAGTTAATGAGAGTTGATTTTAAACTCTCAAAATGCTTACGCATGCATCGTGTTTTATTGCAGCTGATAATAATAAAGGCTGATTTTATTATCAGCAGGCTCTTACATAAGTGGCTGTTAATATTTTGTATGCTGATTTTTAATGTGAGGCAAACTCTATGATATAGAAATCAATTATGACTGCCTCTTTCTGCATGGAAAATCCCCTCACCATGTAGAGTCATGTAGGGTGAGAGGCACCAGTTTGGTACTGGTTAGCTGTTTTGGGGGATGCAGAATTTGCCTGTGAGCTGTGATGAAACAAGTACATTCTTGAATGTTATTTATGCAGCCTGAGAATGATGAATGTCAGACAGCAAAAATGTTCTCTGATGTCTGCTCACTGATTCCAGCTAAAATCATGTACAGGGCCATCTACATGATTTCTTAAAAGCAGGGCATAATTTATGGCTTAAAATAAACTCTTGCAAATAGAAATCAGTGCACTTGAAAGCTACTGTGATTTATAGTGATTTCAAGTATTTAAGTTTTCAAATAATGACCCATAAAACCTGCATTAACTGTGCTTGAAAAGCAATGAACTGATGAAGACGGTGCCCCAGTAGCCTCTTTGTCAGGATTTGAGCACCTTCTGAATTTCTCCTGCTGCCAGCAGAAATTAACATCCACAAAAGTCGCAGCTGGCGATAAGGGATCATTAATCAGATTCCAAGCCTGTCTGCTGAGAAGGCACAGGACTGGGACTTGCTAGAACTGCCTGTGCTGCTGTTAGCAGCAGTGCTGGCTCCATCCTGCTCCTGGCAGCCTGCCCACCCTCTCTGTTCTTGAAACCCTTTTGCAGGTTGCTCTAAGGAGCATTCAGTGAGGAATGTCCTGTGTGGCACAGTGTGTGGTGGATCTCCAGTGGGGTATGAGGGATGCCACATGTTGTTAGTCCTGGGGAGAAAGAGGCTAAGTCTCATAAGTTGTTTGGGGATTTACTACGCTTTTTATAATGTTTGCTCTTGGTTACCCTTTGTTTTGCCCTTTAAAATGGTAACGAGGCCAAGCCAGTCCTCTATGAAACTGGAAAGGTACCAGCGCTCTGGGGACTCTTCAGTTTGCTGTAAATTACACTTTATTAAGGGTGTTGCTTGCCAATAGCCACAGACCCCATGTGGTTCACAGCAGTTCTTGAGGTTTTGCAGAACTGGTGTTATGAACTGACACTTTGGTCTCAGTGCAGTTGGGTTTTGAGGTAAAATACCTCTGCAGGGACCTTAAATCTTACTGGTTTTTTTCTCTTTTTGTAGAAGGTGTCAGGAACTTATGCAATGCTTCAGCAGGTACAAGTGCTGCTCTTGGTGTACAGTGAGGACTGTTGACTCTGGCAGATGCCTCGGCAGACCTTGAACTCACCATGGTGTTCTTCAGACCTCTGCACTCTGTTCATTTGGAGCCTGGGAGCTCTGCCCACCAGCTCCCTGCTGCCCTTGCAGCCACAGGGAGGGAGAGCCCTGGCATGGCCTCACGGGGTGTGCTCTGGCCAGGGCACCTATTACAGTCTGCCACAGAAAACAGTGCCAGAAATCTTGGAATTTAGAGGCATTTGCTCCTTCAAATAATAAGTGAGTTGTGACATAGAGAGACTGGCACCATTTGTGCACAGAAGCCCCTCTGGATCTGCTGCAGAGCTCTTTTCTAGCACTCCCTACATCCTGGTGATGCTCAGTCCCACTGTGCAACAGCTGCACATTGGGTACCTGGGGGTTTCAGCATTATTTGTCTTGATTTTCATAATTTCTGCTCCATGGCCCATCTGCTTTTACCCTGGGGGCTGGTGAATGGGCCTCTCTCTTTCCTCTTTAGCTCTCTCTTTAGAGCTCTTGTTTGGCATCTGTTAGAACATCTGTCTTTTGCTGCAAGGGTCTCCCTACTACAGGGAGATCCCTACTACAGGGAACTCTTGTCCAGGCCATTTCCTTCAGATCTCCCTGCTCCAGACTGGTATAAGAGTCCTCCTGCTGATCAGCTCTCCCCCTGGAACTGCAACACAAGAACTTTGAATGCTTTCCCTTGCATGAAGGTATGAGCAACTCCACCCAAGCTGTTCACTGAAAACAATAAGATGTAAATACAACTGCTTGCAAATTGCAAACCCACATCCTTGGGGTGGAAGGTCCCAAAAGAAGCAGTTTAGTGCTCAGTGTAGTAACCACAGCCCATGTGGTTGGAGGATGGGAAGCATGGACAATTTCTGCATATATTTCCCAAAAAAATAGATGAGTTTGCTTTATTGCCTTCTTGCCTCAAAGGTGTCACTTCCATTCTTGGTCTGTATCAGTGGAATTCTGCAGGAATTGTGACAGATTATTCACAACTGGGACTAACCTGGAGAGGCAGCAGAAGAAAGGGGTGGAGTGCTCATGTCCAGGACTACTTGGCCAAGTGGGATTTGCAGCAAGGGAAAATAAACAGGTATATGTCAACACTGTCACTGAGTGGGGGTTGCACAAACCCAAGGGTGTAAACACAAACCAAGATCTCCCTGTCCAGCGTGGGTAGGATGCACTGCACCTTCTGCTCAGGTCCTGAAAGGCTCTGTCCTGATGGACAAATGCCTGGTGGAAAGAGATTTGCTGAATTGCTCTCTACAAGCAGACAGCTTGTTTGTAGGGTTACAGCACAGATCTTCCTCGTGCACAGGGCAGGAGCCCAAAGCTGAGCACTGTGTACCTCGGCTGACGCAGGGGACAGCAGATACGTGCTGTAGCTGTGGAGATGTTTTCTAAATCTTAATTCCTTCTCTAGATCCTTGACAGGTGTTTGCTCTTCTATCCCTTTACTCTGTCTCTCATTTCAAACTACTCCCCAAATTTAATAGCTTAGTTGGAAGAGAATTGCTTTGCTCTTGTCAGAACATGCTCAATCTCCTTTAAGTGCAGATTTGGTTTGCAAATAATATTTCCTTTCCGATAAGGTTCAGGTGTCATCACTGTGGACATTGGCAGGAATTTGCTTGACCATGACAGCTTTTACAGAGCCTGGCAATTAAGTTGTCAAGATACATTTTCCTCTGCCAGGAAGCATTAATGGATGCTGGTCTTGGCTGGAATAAGCCCTGAGAGATGGATATTGTAATTGGAATGAAAAGAGGTCCTTGTAGCTAAGGCCTGCATTGGTCCAAAGGTCTGAAGTCCTTGATACTTGGTGAAACTGAGATAAAGAAAAGGGCAGGAAATATGGGGCAGAACATCAGGGGGAAGGAATGAAAACAAGGTATGTGACTAAGGAGATGATCTCTAGTGTCGCTAGAGATTAATGGAGCTGGAAATGTTGGCATATGGAAAGACTTTAGCTTTGCAGATGCACACGGCAAACTATTAATATTAGCAGAGCTCCTGGATATGAAAGCAAATATTTTTCCATTAGGTAATCCCCAAAATTGTGTTATTGTGGATTTGCTTTTCAAGTGAGAAGGATGTTGGAAATGTCCTTCTCTTAGAAAATAAAACTGAGATGATTCAACATGAGCTTGCTCTGTTTAAATTATGTCAAAAATAGACCTGCAAGTAAGGATTTTGATTACCAAGTACAGAACTTGAAAGACTAAAAGTTAGTGAGAAACTTGGAGAATTTAGGATCCCAATTAAGAAGACTATGATTGAGACCAACCCAAAGAATTGCCCAAAACCTCCATTCATAAAGAACAAAAGAAAAAGAAAAAAGTGTTCAGGACCAATCTAAGTTCTGCTACCTTAACAGTGGGCAAACCTTAAGGAGATGTTTGAAGAAAACTAAAGATATAAAGCATAAAGAGATAACGTACACAGTGAATTTTCAGGAAGGAAACCATGCGTGGGCTAATACCAATCTTTTCAAAGTTGGCTGACTTCCTAGGTAAAGGAAAAACAGTACATCTAGTCTATGCAGACATTAAAGGCACTTGGCCTGCTGCCCTGTGGGATGGTATCACTTAGACTTAGTGAGGTGGGTCAGGAACTGGTGTTGGGGCAGGTGGTAGCAGATGAGCAGAGAGTACCATGGGAGTTATCAGTGAACAGCCAAAATGATGGGTTTTAGGACCAAACTTCATATTTTTGCTCCTTGTTGCAGTACAGAAAAAGTTGGCACATGGAGCAGAGCACAGCTGAGTTCTTTAAACAGGAGAAGAGCAGGATTCCTCCCGCAGAGCACAGGGTGACCTTCTAGGCTGAAATTGCCTGGGCTCAAACTGGGATGAAATACAGCAATGAAGAGTACAAAATCACACTCTGAGGTTAAATAATGAGGGTTTTGGCCATCAGTTGACAGCTCAGTTGAAGACTATAAAGGAGGAGAAAGTTCTAATTGCATTTAGCCAGACACAAGGTAGAAGTGAGCCTGCAACAAGCCACGGCCATGCGAGGGGCAGCCCAGTGCGGGGCAGGAGGAGAGGGGTCCTGGCACAATGCCTGCTCACCTGGAGCCACATGTAGTCCCCTTCCTGGCATACACGTTTGTATCAATCATTAGCTAGAGATCTAGAGCTGGGTAAACACAATTTTGGCGTTGAATGATGATGACAGGCTCAGAGCATTAGCTAATAAGGTGGGACCACTTGGTGTGGTGTGCTATATATTCCTGCTCCAACCTGCAATCTTCCTCCTGCACAGAGAGCACACAGACTGCACTGGAGCAGTATCCCTGTCTGCCATGAAGATAACGGGTGCTTTTGTGAGGGCAGCTCTAGCCCTTTGCTGCTGCTTGGGTGAGTATTTCTTGGGATTCTTCAGCTGATATCTAGCTAAATCAGAGCTGAATTTTCATTTCAGCAAAAGTCTTTGGGTCTTGCAACATGGAGGGCAACCTTGTTCCAAAGAAATACTCTTCCTGAGAGAGGGTAGCAAAAGAAATTAGGTTTCAAGGCTGAGGTTTCAGCAAACCTCATACAGGCAAGTGTTTTTCTCTTCTGGGTTTGTAGGAGAAATTGCTGCAGGAGCAGTCCTAGTGCAGGGCAGGAGCTTCCACATGGGAGTCCTGTGTATAAAGGCAAGATAAAACTGTTATATACATGAAAAATTGGACCTCTAGTAAGTTTGCTGTGCTTCTCCTGGTAGCTGAGAAGGATGTGTTTGGAGATGGACTGTGCTGGTGGTTGACAGTTGTTTTAAACATGCATGTCGAGACTTTTGAAAGTCAAATACAAAGTGTCTCAGAAGAGTTTAAAATCCAAGAGTACTGAATTGAAAGTACCTGTATCACTTCTCTGTAACATCTTAGGGATGGATTCATACATATGCTCTCAGATGTTTTATCTCCCCTCTGAAATGCAATGAAAATTTATCTAGTAACTTTTAATACATCCCATGGCCATTTACTGGCATAATGTAAAACTCCATGTGTTCCTAAACCTGATAAACTAGTCAACAAACACTTACTGAATGTAACATTTCCATGAAAAGCTTTACATATATATTCTGTGCATATCAATAATTTGATTTTTTTTCCTCTCTCCATTTTTCCTTTCAGGTACTGCCTTTGGAGTTGAGGTGAGCTACAGTTTTATTTATTCTCTTCTATTCCAAGTTTCTGGTAAAATAGAAACAGTATGTAATTACCCGATGAGCAAGTGGATTAAATCTAATGAAAGCTTGGCTGTTCAAATGATATTTGCCAGTGCATGATTGAATGATATTGCCAATTTCATGAGAAAGTAAAAGATCCCCATTTTTCACAGTATTTTCAGTTCATTAAATAAAATGAAAAAGCAAGAAGTAATTGTACAATCCTATTATATTAACTCTTAGAGGTAATTTAGTTACTCCAGGCCAAAGACAGTAGTTTGCCTCCTCGTGGGGAATGCTGTCTGAAGATGATATGCTTGAAAACATCAAAGACTGTGACTCTCATAATTGTTTCTATACAGTAAAACCCACAGAAATATGTTCCTTGCATGGGTTTCTATACCTCTATCTTAGATAGGAAAACAGCAGGGTCTGAGCCATGGATTTGTCTGCAGGTTCTTCCCACACAGTTACAAGATTCCTATAACTCACCAGAGTGCAGCACGATCTGGAAGGATCTTCTATTGAGCTGAGGGGCTCCCAATTACCAACTGCCTTCATTAGGCAC